GCACTGGGAAGCCGAAATGTATTCAAGATACTGAAAATAGTTATTGATCACTCAAACTATAGTTTTAGCAAAAACAAAATCCCTGCACCTTGAATTAAATTCCTTCCTTTCCCTGTCCACACAAGCACTTACATAGAGCCCTGAGCAATTTTCATCTCTTACTGTGGGGGGGCCCTTTTTATTGCCACTGCATTCAAAAATGCAATGAAATGTCTCTGGGTAGGAGGAATATCTCTGTAGAAGCCTACCCCCTGTTCTAGTAGCTTGTTTATCTGGCAGCTAGTTTATACTGAGTGCATTGCTGTCATTCATAAAGTGGCATGTTACTTACAAAAGGGCTTCATGAAACAGGACTGTTGTGACATCCCTGCCTGAGCATGGGGATAAGTGAATTGGAGGAATCTTTCAGTTATTCCTCTAATATTGTCCACAACATGCAGAGATAATGTGGGTACAGAACCAGCCTATTACAGAGGGCGCAGATTATACCTAATGATTTTAAAGCAGATTAATTTACCCATTATGCTAATATTTGCCACAGTAAAAATGAGTAACAATAATGTGTTATCATTGCAGTTTAAGTGCACTTGCTTGTTAACACATTGGTAGTAATGTAAAGATTAAATTATGTGACCACTCTCTAATGCCCAATGAGAATTGAGGCCCCATCATGCTCAATGCTGTATTCACACACAAAACAAGGTCCTTACCTGAAGAATTTATAATCTAAAAATACAAGCCAGATAAATCCTAATACATAAATGTGAAAACTTCAAAAACAAAAAATAGTCTAGCAACACCTTAAAGACTAACAAAACATACTAGTTTTGAAGCACTTGGAATAGGGGAAAGTGATCAGGAATAGTCAACATGGATTCATGAAGGGCAAGTCGTGCCTGACCAATCTGATTAGCTTCTATGATGAGGTAACTGGCTCTGTGGATATGGGAGAGTCAGTGGATGTGATATACCTTGACCTCAGCAAAGCTTTTGATACTGTCTCCCACAATATTCTTGCCAGCAAATTAAAGGAATATGGATTGGATAAATGGACTGTAAGGTGGATAGAAAGCTGGCTAGGCTGTCATGCCCTACAGGTAGTGATCCACGGCTCGATGTCAGGTTGGCGGTTGGCTTCTAGCAGAGTGCCCCAAGGATCTGTTCTAGGACCGGTTTTGTTCAACATCTTTAATGACCTGGATGAGGGGATGGATTGCATTCTCAGCAAATTTTCAAATGACACTAAGCTAGGGGAAGAGGTAGATACACTGGAGGGCAGAGATAGGGTCGAGAGAGACCTGGACAGATGAGAGGATTGGACCAAAAGAAATCTGAGGAGGTTCAACAAGGAAAAGTGTAGAGTCCTGTACTTGGCACAGAAGAATCCCAAGCACTGTTACAGGCTGGGGACCAACTGGCTAAGTAGCAGTTCTGCAGAAAAGGACCTGAGGATTACAGTGGCTGAGAAGCTGGATATGAGTCAATAGTGTGCTCTTCTAGCCAAGAAGGCTAATGACATATTGGGGTTCATTAGGAGGAGCATTGCCAGCAGATCCAAAGAAGTGATTATTCCCCTTTATTCGGTTCTGGTGAGGCCACATCTATAATAATTGTGTCCAGTTCTGGGCCCCGCACTATAGAAAGGATGTGGACACATTGGAAAGGGTCCAGCGGAGGACAACAAAAATTATTAGGGGGCTGGAGCGCATGATCTATGAGATGAGACTGAGGGATTAGTGTTTGTTTTGTCCGCAGAAGCGAAGAGTGAGGGGGGATTTGATAGCAGCCTTCAACTTCCTGAAGGGAGGTTCCAAAGAGGACGGAGAAAGGCTGTTCACGGTAGTGACGGTTGGCAGAACAAGGAGCAATGGTCTCAAGTTACAATGGGAGAGGTCTAGGTTTGATATTCGGAAAAACTATTTCACTAGGAGGGTGGTGAAGCATTGGAATGGATTACCTAGGGAGGTGGTGGAATCTTTATCCCTAGCGGTTTTTAAGTCTCGGCTTGACAAAGCCCTGGCTGGGTTGATTTAGTTGGGATTGGTCCTGCCTTGGGCAGGGGACTGGACTTGTTGACCACCTGACGTCTCTTCCAGCTCTATGATTCTAACCCACTTCTTCAGATGACTGGAGTATTACAAGTTCAGATCCAAGAATAAATAAAGGAAGGGAGGGTGGGCGGGCAAAGGAAAAAAATAGTGAAGTAGATTGTTCAGGTTACAAGAAGCTGATAAGAACACTTTGCAACTCTTTAAGTATCCATTGGTTGGTTGGTTAAGACAAGTCATTAGGATGTGGAGGATAGTGTGCTAGGCAGCCAATGTCTTTATTCATTCCTCTCAACATAGAGGTACTAATCTTGTTAGTTACATTTGTTTCTCCCGTGAACCATTCCTTCTACCTTAACTCCCTAATTAACTGTTGGAGTGGATTACCAAGGCATGTGGTAAATGCTGCAGTGTTTAAGTCTAGATGGGACGTCTTTCTAAAAATGCATGATCTAGTTGAGCTGCAAGTTATTAGGCTGAGAGCACTGAGTGAAATTATATGGTTTGTTTTGCATATCAGTGCCCCCTATGAGCCCTGGGTATTGACCAGGGACACACTGTTCCAGCCACTGTAGAAAGAGACTTGTGGATACTGTCAGATGTGGTAGCAGAAGGAAATAATGAGACAGTATTGGTCAGCATGGTGTGCAGCAGTCTAACCCTATTTGCTGACTCCAGAATGTAACTTGTCCAGACTTGTGCTGTATAAAAGTGGGTGGGAACTTTTAAAGCTGACATTAGAAACTTAGAGTAGCAAAACCTACTGCTGTGGAAGCTTAAAAGTGACTGTTCATGAATGTGATAAACTTGGTTTTGTCTTGGTGTAGTAAGGAAAGAGTTTGAATAAATGTTGTGTGAGACTTAAGAATGCTGAAGTTAGTGCAGTGCAAATAAAATAAAAGTTCTGCTTTCTAAGTAGCTAATAAGACAGCTAATTGAGAAGTTCACACTGCGAAACAAGCAGTCCTGTAGTACCTTAGAGACTACAACAATATATATATAGTATCATGAGCTTTCTTGGGCAAAACCCACTTCCTCAGATGAGCCGAGTAGATGAAAATATCTGTCCACGAAAGCTCATGAAACTATATTTATTTGTTAGTCTCTAAGGTGCTACAGGACTACTCGTTTTTAAAGTTAGACTAACACGGCTACCTCTCTGAAACTTTTAAAACCTGCAAAATGTTTGCATAGGTGAATGGAATATTTCATACATTTGTTGATAAATATAATATACTATTTTAAAAAAATAAAAAATGTTTAATACCCTCTGTTTAAATAGAAGCGAGATGTATATGAATAAGGCTATTGTACAACCTTTAAAGATCTGTAGATGTTTCTAGTTTAATCTGGTAAAGCATAGCACTGTTTTCTGTTTCTGCTACTGACTTACTTTGGCACCTCTAATAAGTTGCTTAATTATTGTTTGTTTACAAACAATAAGCAGTCCTGTGGCACTTCTGAGACTACAGGCAGTCCCCGAGTTACGCGGATCTGACTTATGTCGGATCCGCAATTACGAACGGGGTTTGCTCTGCGTCTCCCTGGTCTGCTGGAGACCAGCAGACCAGGGAGACGGGGAGCAAAGCCTCTGAGGACGCCGGCAGTGGGACAGCCGCGGAGCAAAGCTGCGGAGGACTCGGGCGGCGGGACCGCGGTGCGTCTCGGTGGTCCCACCACCCGTGTCTCCCTGGTCTGCTGGGGGGGGGCCCCACTAGCTGCGCCCTCTCCCCCCCCCCCCCCCCCACCCGACC